GTTAAGGAAGCTTAATCCCCAAAATTATTGAAAGGCCTGGTTGGGGAGGCAACTAAGATTAGAAGAGGCTGGAAGGATGAGGCTTCTTGACGTAAGTGGTGTTATAAGAAAGGGAAGAGAATCCTGACCTAGCATACTGACCCTGTTTCCCCAGGAGATGCACTCCAACACGTTCAGATGAATGCAAGATCCTCGTAGATAGTATGCTCTTGGACTTCCCAGCCTCAAAATACGACTCTATTCTTTACAAATTTCCCGGTCTTGGGTATTTTGTTATAGCAACAGGAAATGGACCACAATGCAGGCCTTGCCCTTGGGCATGTGCAGGAAAAACTAACAAGAACACTGCTCTTTTGGAGATCACTATGAGCAGCACGGACATTCATTTATAAACAAATCCACAGAGCAGTGAACTATAATCCTACCACTATGGATGTAGCTCAGCTGGTCTGCTGTTTGCCTAGTGCTCTTAATCCCTGAGTGCAATGCCCAGCACTGCATCAAGTAGATGTGTTGGTGCATGCCAATAATATCAGTACTCAGGAGGTAGAGGCAAGTAGATCAGAAGTTCAAGGTCGTAGCCATGTGTGAGGCCAAACTTGACAAATGAAACCCTGTCTCAAAAGAATACAAATAACTCAGATGGTTCCTGGTAGCTTTTAACCTGCAAGGTGTAGACACATGGATCTCTGTTGTGGTCTCAGAAGCATAAGACTGAGGGTCAGTAACAGTGAGGGTTGCTGCATTGGCTGTCATTTCTGTTCTCTAATGAACTTTAACAACAGGAAGAAGTCCTACTGTTGAAGTCCTCTCCTAGGTAACCATCATTTGGACCCCATGGCTGTGACTTCCCCATCTTGCTAATAATCAATCCAAGAAAAGCAGATTCTCTTCATTATTCTCCCCAAACTAGCACCCTGTCCCTTGCACCTCATCCTTTCTGTCAGGCTCAAGCAGAGACCTGCACAAGCCCTGGGGTTGCAGTGGCTTTTTCAGGAGATATGTGGACTGGAAAAGGCCAGCCCACAATCTTTGAGGCCATAAACAATGTACAAGAGGAGGTAAAAAAAACAATGACATTTGGAGCCTATGCCAGCTAGGAAATCTAGCTGTAGAGAGAAACAAGCAACCTGGTATTCAGCACATGCCATGGGAAGATTAAATGAGTTTAAATGTTAACGTTACAGTGACATCCTCTTAAATCTTGTGCAAGGTTCATAAAGAACATGCAGAGGGAACCGAGTGGGGGGTGTTGGTAGAACCAAACAGTTTATGTAGGCTGATGACATCTGACCAGCAGAGAACTCAAGCCATTCCTCACCAAAGCTTGTCCACCTGGCGATGGTACTATCAGCCTGTCACACACACACACACACACACACACACACACACACACACACATACTTTATAGGTTTACTGCAGACCTATCTGACACTTGAACTGTAAAACCCACAGGTAAGAAGGGAGCCACTGGGAGCAGTTCAGGTAGACAACAACAGTTGCCTATGAGCATGGTCAAATCCAGATGTTGCCCTGGATTAGATGATATTTGGCCTGGGATTAACTGTCTCAAGGTATGTTCTAGAGAGCTGAAAAAGTTTAATGGTTGTGAGTGTCCAATGGCAGGGAAGCTCCAGGACATATGTGGGGAAAGCTAAATGGCCTTCAGATGCCTGAACCCCATTAGTTCTTTTCGCATGGTGGCATGGCCTCATAGTGAATGAAGGCCCATCACCACTGAGGAAACAGGAAAATAACAACTATGCCAGGCTGGTTCCTACCTTATTAGCATATCCAAAATCAGCAGTTCTCAAAGCTGGAGAGGAAGATGGGTACCCTGAAACAAGTCAAAGTTTCAACTATTAAAACTTTCTGTAAAGCAACTTGGCAATAGATAACAAAAGCCTCAGAAATATTAAAATCGTTTAGCTCAGTAATTACTATAATTAACATTGGTAGGACTTGCTCCAAAAGAAATGAGATGAATATAAAGATCTCCCTTGCACATATAGATGGAAAATTTTAAGTGGCCTATTGTCTAACATTAGTACAAAAAAAAAACAGTTTATTGGTGGCTAGTATTTAGGCATTTATAGGGACTAAAACTGTTGATAGAGTACTTTAAAGCCTAAAATAATATCTGTATAAACTGATTACATGACTGCTCCATGGTACAGTTGAGAAGAATGGTTTTTAGTGTGGCTATAAAGGAGAGAACATCCAGAGACATCTGACAGAGTCCAGAGCAGAGAGAGAAAGTAGTAGACTGAACATGGACAGCAGAAACAGGAGGAGAGAGATGGAAGAGGGGAGAGAGAGAGAGAGTGAGAGAGAGAGGGGGGAAGCAGAAGGAGGAGGAGGAAGAGGAGGAGGAGGAGGAGGAGGAGG